AGAGAGAGAGAGAGAAATATCTTCCGTCTGAGAGAGAATAGAAGAGAAATACATAAATAGAACGAGTGCGAGGAGAGTAAAGAGCGAAACATATGGCATGCGTATGACACCTTTAACACGGACACGTGTGCGTACACGTATCGCGTATACGTGTGGTTCCACGTGTATCTATGCAAGAAAGAGATCCGCGACCGCCCCAGTTGAAGCATTGTAGCACAGCTACCGAAGATAAGGCATGAAATTAAATTCGACGGAATGTGGGTCGTGCCGTACGGCTCCTTTCGCTACCCCTACGTCACGTCCTGCCTGACAACAACGTCGGAGAGATACATTCGTACCTAACCGCCTACATGCGCATAAACAATGAGAGCATAAGAGTATACGTTAGATGTTGTAAATGCTGTCGCTAATAAATGTACATTTTTCAAATCGATCTATCCATCTAAGTTGAGATCTATCCCAATCTATTCGAATCTATCGAATCGCTTTACATTTATGAATTCTTTGATTAATTTATGGAATATTTATTTTTATTTCTTGACGATAAACGCGCACCTACGATTGCAATGGATTGCAATCGATTTAGTGAATTTAAATGACACGATATATTCTCGCACTGCTATTGTGACATACATCATATCGCGGCGAAATGATTTCTTTTTCTCTTTTTTTTGCAAATGTAATTGAGAAGATACGTCGATTATTATTTTTAATGTTTTTTTTGGCACCATTTCACGAAATATGTGAACGATCGCGATCGTTGTGAAAATACTGGAAGCGTATTTTCGAAAAAAGAATTGAAATACGTTATTCCAGAAGTGAATACTATTTGATGTATGTCGAATCGAAAATAAATAGATTTAATAAGACTCGTGTAGTCTATAAATGGTATGTCGGAATTTAAAATAGACTTTCTTCTTTTGATGGAAATAATTTTTCCATCAACCAATAATTTTTCAATCGTCAGTTGCAAATGAAAGATCTTAATCTTAATCTGATTTTAAATAAATTTGATGTCGACGAAACTTATAGAGTGCAAAGGATGTTAAGAATGCATCAAGAGATAAGACATTCTCTATTGTATCTCTATTGTATCTTTGCTGAGGAAAAATTAATTTTGAGATAAGTTTTGGATAGGAAAAATAGAGGCAAGTACAGAAAATTCGTAAAACACCGAAATGAGGATCAAATTTTTAAGACATGCAATCGAAACACGAACAGATTATTTTTTACAATTTATACATATATAAATATAAACTATGTGTTGTCATCAAGTGCTCGTTACATGTATATGACACGTTAGGCACTGTGCCATACACATCTATTGGCACTATTAGTCGACCATAAGCCTTCGTTTAATTGAAATGTATGCGTGAGCAAGTGTCATATAATTACACTGTTATGGCATTATTATAATGTGCGCGACCGAGCGTGAGAATAAATTCAAACTTTTATTCTACATCTGCATGAAATATCAAATATGGGCAGGATTAACTCGTGTTTTAATTAAGAATGACGGATTAATTTAAGTTTATAATTAAAATAGATTCCTCTCAGCTAATCCAAAAATATTCTTTAATGTAGGGCACGAAATAATTATGGAGAAAATATGATTTCGAAACAGATATCTATCCGATTGTCCGATTATTGCGAGTTAAAATCCTTTTGTTATGTGTCCAATATTATAAATTATATGTCATGAAATACTATTTTCGTTTCGTTTTGTTAATAAAAGATTAAAGATAATGATAAAAAATATTGAGTTTAATTTAACATTGATATCGTTTAATATCTTCAGTATGTCGTAAACTCGTAAACTCAAATTTTAAATAACATAATACGCGGCACTACTTATTTCTATCACACAAGTATAAAGATAATAATTGCCAACTTGCATTATATGTACATACAATTTGCATTTTATTGCACAAATTTAAAAATATAATCGTCAAATAAAACCAACTTTTAATATTTCAGATTGCATGCTACTTGTATATCAAAATATTGGATGGAGCCTCTTGTATATTATATATTATGCATAAAGCCTCATGACGTTGACGTATAACCTAAGTCAAGCCCTGGGCGGAATGCATTAGGCTGTCTACATAGCGAGGCAGCGATTCGGATCTGTCAAAAGTCGAGGTGTGCCCGTCACGTGGAGTAGACGGAATAAATGATTTCCCAATATCGATACGGCTTCTCGCGCTTCCTTTTTGAAGAAACTATACTCGTTCAA